AATATCAAGATAATCTGAGTGTCCCACTCAATAATTATGGAGATTTTTCACCATGGTCTCAAACGTGGTATAACCCTAATCCAAACGGGTATGATCAAGGATGGTGGGATAACTCCAGTTATAATTATACAACAGGGCCAATGAATTTTCAGCAGTATGAGTCTCAAGAACCGTCATCCATGTCAGGTATGTCTCTTGAAGAAATAGTTGAATTAATAGTTACTAACACATATCAAATTCAACAGGAGGTACATCAACTTCAACAGGAGACACAAAGGATGAGTAAAGAGATGAAAGAAGCAAGGCTTGAATGGGCATTTAAAATGAGCAAATTGATTTCACCAGTTTATGAAGAATTGCCCTCACCGACTATTATCGACCATGAGGAAGATGAGAGTGCAATTATTCTGACAAATGACATGGTACTGCAAGAGTCTCAAGAAGAAGAATCTAAAGATGTAGTTGAAAAGAAAGTTAAAGAGCAAGAATTAAGACCCCAACATCAAATGGTTCAAGTGAATGAATCCAGTGAACAATCTCCAAATGCGGTGACATCTCCTCCATTCCTTGATCAATATTTTCCTGACTCTTATTCTTTAATTCCTGTTAGTGAGATTGATTTTATTATACCAGACGATTTTGAATTTCATGCCAGGAATAAATTAAGAGTCATGATGGCAAAATATCTCGAACCCATAAGTGCTCTTGATGGAGGAGTGAGTGAAGATTTAAGATCATCACTTGTTTGTTTGGTGCCATTTACTAGTCCATGGAAGCCCGTAGCTCGTGTGCCCAAGAATTACTCTATTTACGAGGGCTATCAGGATTACATAGAAGATGAAGCACTGAAACGAACCACAAGATTTTATCCTCCATGAATACACATGAAAATGTCTAGCCAAAGACATTAAAGAAAGGCGCTACTTGGGAGGCAACCCAAGACTATTTGTTTCAGTTTTCATGCATTTTTGAAGTTTTAGTTAGGTGTTGGTAGCAATTAATAGTTTGATGTTTGGTGACAGGGAATTGGCATTTAGGCGTGCCCACGCCAGGTGGTCACGTCTGGGGAAAAGGGTTGGAAGTCGAGAATCTGCGGATTCTAAGGCAGTTAAACGTGCCCACGCCAGGTGGTCACGCGTACATGGATCTAAGAATGAATCTAAAAGGGTATGAATGTATTAATGAAGCTTAGGAAAAATGCACAAATATGTTATAATCAATATGCTTGTTCACATTATACACTTGTATCTAATTTGAATGTCTAACTTCTCTTGCTATTTCTTCCATAAGAATATTAATTCTATTTAAACGAAGACTTTAAACTAGAAATATTCGTTTGTACATTTTATACACCAAAAAATGATGGTCATATGTTGTAAAATCTTTTTTGAGTTCACTGGGCTAATGTAGCAAAGTAAGTTCCTCATTTTCTCTAAAAGCGAAATATGTTTTCAACTTTCTCTTAATATCTACATTCAAATATCTACAATTGAGTTAATTAAGATACTCGATAATTACTAATATGAAACAAAATAAAAGTTAAAGCTTTACTTCAATAAACGAGTTGAGATATATACAAATCATGTATCAACTATCAAGCTTTATTCTAAGCGCAAAGGGTAAAGAACATATTGATGGATAGAATACGAGTAAAAATTGCAGTTTTAGGCCTATGCATGCTTGGCTAGTCTTACTATAGCCTAGTATGTTTCACTTTAGATAATATTTTCTTCCTTAAGAATTGCATACTTCTCATTTAGATCTTCAATTCTTAATTTTTCTTGACATATTTGATCCCTCTTATTTCTAACATTATACTCTTGAAAAGCATGTTGGATGCTGGAGGAGTGGACTTGAAGTGCAAATTTCATAAAGATAAGAGATCGAATTTAAAAATTTAAAAGGTAAAGGACTAAAGTTAAATTATTTATACCTTAAAGAATCATGTATGGTAAAGATGAAATATGGGGAACTAATAATGAAATTATTTTGTCATAGGAGGAACCAAGACTTGTTCTTCCTACATTTTCTTTGATTTGTACTTTGCCCCATATGTGGTAGACAAATCACATCATAGTTTTCTGCCTTTAGAGAATTTGAAATGTATCACAATGTGGCTTCTTATATAATGAGAATTTTAGTGTATCAAATGCTCTTGAAAGAATTGTAATATACGAAATAGTTATGTTCGAATTTCTATTTTTTTGAAGTTTTTTCTTGAAAAATGTATTATAGCAATTTAATGTATGCATCAAAAAAGTAATTGAAAAATGTATTTGCGAAAAACATAAAAGTCACTGGATTGTCTTCCATTTCATTTTATTTACACCTTATTTACACACACTGATTTGCTTGCATCATCAACATATTTTTCAATCACCTTTTTATCTCACATACATCATATCCAAAAAAATGCTACAATACTTTTTCACAAAATTATTTCAAATAATTTACAATCCAAACCCAAGGTTAGAGTAAAAAGACTAGGATAGAATAGATTATACAATAATTATTGTCTCCGAAAAAAAAAAGACTAGGTTAGAGTAAAAATGTTGAAGAAGGAAGTCATGAATATACTTTTGGTCGCAAATATAACAAAACACCGTTGAAAAGCCTATAAAAATTATCCTACATGGTGTTTTTAAACTTCAAATGAAAATTGTTAAGTTTATAACTAAAATTTATAAGATCTATTTTGATGAAATTAGCATAGGAGCATAAGCGTTGCACATAGTGGGCATTTGTTTTAGGAATAGGTACTAAGATAAATTTTTAAAATTAATTAAAAAGAATAGAAATTAACTATTGAAATTTCATATTGCTATCAATTTTCTCCTCCAACAAAACATATAAATCATTTGTTTAACCAAACCTTATCGATAGTACGTCTTGGTAGCAAAGTATAGAATTCTTGCCAGAGCAATTTCACTCTAAATGATAGTAATACCTTCACAGACCAAAAGCAATCATATTTTGTATTGTAAAGATCCACGGAATACAAAAGCGCCAAAATTGAAAACCAAGCGAAAGTGGGACTTGGTTCATCTCTAGTTGATTCTCTCTCCATTTTTTGCAGTACTCGTATAGATGTATGACATGTATTCTCATTTATTAATAAGAGTTAGAATTAGTCAAATTTAAAATGACCATATCTTTTCCTAGTAATTAAAGACGTGTGTCATACATCTAAACGTGCATCGTAGGAAATGAAGAGAGAATTCATTAGAGAGGAAAATCCGTCTAAAGTGATGTCAACAAATTCTATCATATTTTGTATTTTAGATTCACAATTAGATGATTAATCATTTTTATAGTTGAGAAGGGCCAATCTGACATCGTCTTACAAATTTGTTCATTTTTCGTTAGGTAAGGGTATGTTTGCTAACATAAAAAAGTGTTGAATCTGAATTTTTTCAGACATTTAGATGTTTTAACTGTTTGATAAATGAAAATCCATTTGCTGAATTTTTTAAGTAGTGGTGAACTTGTGTGTATTTTTTTTTAGCACAAGAATCCTAATTGAATGCTTAATTCTAATAAGAATCAATAAAATTACTTCAATTACCTTATCTTATCTATCAAATCTACCCTTATTTGTTAATTATGTTCAAAATTCTTATCTAATTAAACAACCTAATATTCTCTATCTAATGATTTTCTATTTCTTTTTTCTCCCTTTTGAATGACTTTCACATCTTCTGCATACTCCTCATATAATATATTTCATCTTTTATATTAATTTGATTTAAAAATAAATATTGTTATTTTCATACCTAACATTTTTAGCTAATTAAATCATGGGTTCTATTTCTTTTTTGGATGAAAAGATATAAGGGCAAAATTGTCAAATTTAACTTATTAAGCATTTAGTTATAAATATTTATCAAACAGTATAAATAGGTTTAGCATTAAAATTCAGACATTCATATATTTCTTTTCAGTGCTTAAAATTCAGCAAATTAGTTATTTCAGTATTCAGATTTCAGAATTCAGACTTCAGAATTCAGATTCAATTTTATCAAACGGAACCCAAGACTTGGACCTTCTGCGTGTCCTAGTTTTTGCAAGTAGAACCACGTTGTTGTTACTTGTTAGCCTTACTTTCTCATTTGGTTAAAGTAAAGTAAGCCTCAGCCAGCATGCGTGATGAAAGTGGGGCATGACTTGAAAAGATTATTAACTGACAGTTAATATCCCTAACCTATAAAAGACTAATTGAGACATGATTTGCTGTGAAAAAAATCATAATCTCACCTTTGGAAGTTCTGTAAAAATACCATGCTCATTTATAGCCTTGATATACTACCACAAAGTGTTATCAAGTAGTAGTAAAGAGAAATTTTCCATTGATTCGCAATAAATAGAGAAGCGAAAATAGATTGCGAGTTGTAGTCCATTCTCATCACAAGTATTCAGAACAAATCATCTAGTTGAGATTAGGAAATAGAGAAATGCATACGTGAAACAGTTCCTATTTTATCCAATTAAATTTCATTCATGTATTTAGAAAGAGTGAAATTTCATTCATTCATGCATCACGAAGAATTTAGTTAGCTGCTCTTTTTTTTTTTTTTTAACTATGAAAATCTCCAAATCTCATTTTTTTTCTTTTGATTATATGTTAATTAGCCCAAAATTCATTGTACTCACTTGACATAGCGCATAAATAAAGGCATCGGCCCATTGTACAATTGTGAAATTTATACTTGTTTTCTCTTCAATTTGGGTATTTTATCCCTAGCTCTATATATCATCTAAAACATATCACATTTAAAGCTCTTTGGAGAATCAATTATTTTACTAATGCCCTTTCGAGCAATTAGCTCAAGCAGCAGAAAAACCAAGTTGCAGACATCCTTCTTAAAGGAACTCAAGTCCCATACTTCTTCATTCTTTGCAAAAATTCTCCAACTTGAAGAAGTGAAATGTGATTCTGAAAATTAAGCAAATCTCAAAGTTGGATATCCTAAATCCAAACCTAAGATTGAGCAGAAAAGAGATGATCATAGAGGTTTCCAAATTGGGCTATCATATTCTTCCAAGAATCATGAGCTCAAACATCAAAAAAATGATGGAGTTTGAAACTCAAATAGAAAAAAAGAAAAAAAAAAGATAACAAAGTTCCTTGACGGCAAATTGACACATGTTTGAAAAGAAATAGCACAAAACCATCATTAAATTCAGCAAAACGAAATTACACAAAATAGGCCAACAGCAAAATATCTGAATAATCTCATTGATTGTTTCCACCATATCTTGACAAGAAAAGAGCCGTCGATCCTTTCCAACTTTTACCTCAATCTTCCACAAAAGCACCAAAGAAAACCAGACCACCAATTACAATCTCAAGAGGGAAAACCACCGTAGCGCAAAAAGCTCTCCCTGATGATATCATCAAGAGAAAAAATAGAGCAATAATTAGTTGTTTGTTCATCAATTTCAATGTGCTCGTGCATGCATTACAGGCAACTGAAGTACAAAAAAGCTACCAAATGGTAAATATAAATTAAACTTGTTTAAAAATAAAAAGCATGATTATTTCTACAAGCCAATTGATGGTGATGACAACAAAAAAAATTACCAGATATTGCACCAGCTGATGCCCTTCAATATTTTCCATAAATGATCTTCAGATTCCCATCTCCATAATTATCTTCCTGTGCTGCTTTAATTTCCCGTACTAAAGATTTGACGCCATCTCCGCAAGAACTCACATTAATTGTTTCAAGAGTAGATGTACTCCTAAACAAGCAGGCATCATTTTCAAATTAAAAATTTTGTGGAGTTTTAATTGCTGAAGGCACGGGAAGTAATTCACCACTGTTAGGGTCTGCCTCTGTCCACTCCACAACCTGTACTTCTTCCAAGGTCAAGACCCTGAGTTTAGGGAATCCTCCTTCCATCAGCTCCCATCTTTGGCCGCCGTCCCTTGACAACGCCATCTTAACTTGAGGACTTCAAGGTTGGGTAGTTGTTCAACCAATGACATTTTACTACAGGGAAGACCCAGATTGTGAAGACACAATTTCTTCAAATTCATGGGAAAGGAAAGCTCAACATGTACCCGTGAACGTGAGGAGTAATTGCCCAACCAGGTGAGTGATTCTAGGCATTCTAGTCGACTCATGTTCAACACTCCAGTCTGATGATCGATAATTTTAAGTCGGCGAACGTTGGGAATCCTTCTCAATAAGTTCTCTCCCTCTTTATAAAGACGCAAACGAGAGAGTGTGTCTAAATTGGGTAAAGTGGAGAGGTTTTCAACAACGTTGTCATTGGAAGAAAGACCAATAACGACGCCAGCCACAAAATACATGCCTCAACTTCTTCATGTTCCAGATGCTATCTGGCAATGAAACCATCCGATTAGAATATAGACAAAAGGTTTCCAAATGTGAGAGCTTGGCTATAGATGGTGGAATGAATTCCATTTCCAGAGCTGTAAGGGCTAAGTACCTCAAACAAAGAAGTGATTCGACTTCAGCTGGAAGCTCCTTCAGCCTTAGGTTAATGCCCTCTAAATTCAAAACGTTAAGATGTTTGTAGATGCAAAAAATGAAGGAGATATTAAGCAACTTAAAATTCTTATATCCTGGAGTAGCATCAAATAATAGCAGGCTGGCTAAATGCGGACAAAATAGCCTTGACTGTATAAAATCTTCTTTACTGGAGCAAATGGACAACCGAGGTAGGTTGGGAGGCTCATTAAAGGTAGAAAGCTCATCATATCCTCGCAGGACCTGAAGGAATTTCTTTTCTTTCGCCTCGCCCTTACAGAACTCAAATATCAAATCGTGAATGTAACAAGTTTTGACTCCACCAATGGATCTGCTTTTACTTACCATAACCAGGTTTCGGCCAATAAGGTCCATCAGATATTCTTCTGCAATGACCTCTGATCTCTTTCCTTCAATTTTTTCCACGAAACCCTTCTGCAATCCAGAGACGCATCAACTTCTTGGCACCAATTTTTTCATCTTCTCGAAATGCAGCAAAATACAGCAAGCATGCCTTTCAAGTGATATGGTAAATGCTCATAACTGAGCTCCAATGTCTTCTTCCACTGGTCTGTACCAGACACCATGGTTGAAGTTAAACTTTCAGCAAACTTCTCCAAACCAAAATATCATGCTCTATAGTTGCTAGGACTCCAGCTACAACAACAAGTGCAAGTGGCAATCCCCAGCACTTTTCAGCAATCTCCATTCCCAATCCATGCAATGCTTGAGGACATTCTTCTTCTTCTCCAAACACCTTCTTCTGCAGCAATTCAAAACTTTTTTCTCACTGAGTGGGTGAAGATAGTGAGGTTCTCCACCATATTGAACCTCTGAAGCTACATTAGAAGATCGACTCGTAAAGATGATTCTACTTCCATTCTTGTCATTGGGAATGCAGTTCTCAGCCCATTCCATACCTCAATGTCCCAGACATCATCAAAAACAACAAGATACCGATTCTTCAATAGCCTTTGATAGAGCTTTTCAAGCAAGTCATCTTCATCCAGATTTTGAAACTTATCCATCCTAGAGTGTTTTCCATCAGAACACAAAATTTGTGTTAACAAGCTTTTCTTGTTATATTCCTGAGAAACAGTACACCAAAGGCGAATGTGGAAGTTATAGATAATTGAATTATCATTGTAAACCTTTTTGGCTAAAGTTGTCTTACCAAGCCCAGCCATTCCCACAATGGGAACAATTTCCACCTGTTTTGATCCGCTTACAAGTCGTTCAATTACTTTTGCTGCATCATCATCAAGACCAACCATGACTTCATGGTCTATTGGCATTTTACCTTTTGATAGCATGCGGCTGGAAGTCTGGCTAACTTCTGGTGCTCTTAAGCTATGAGAGGAATTAGGAAGACTCTGTATAGTACTTGAGACACTGAGCTGATCCTCAAAATGCTTGATAAGTGGTTCAATTACTTTTTCTGCCTCATCATCAAGACCAACCATGACTTCATGGTCTATTGGCATTTTACCTTTTGATAGCATGCGGCTGGAAGTCTGGCTAACTTCTGGTGCTCTTAAGCTATGAGAGGAATTAGGAAGACTCTCTATAGTTCTTGAGCCACTGATCTGATCCTTAAAATGCTTGATATGGATGTTGGTATTGGCCAGCATATCACAAAAACAAGAACCTGGGTGGATCCTGAGAAGCTAACTTCTCCTTCTATCACTCTGCTCAGAGTGGGCGCGAATATTATACTGCCTGCCTCACCCAGGAGAGCTCCAATTTTTTCATTTTGTTCATCCATCATCTCATGATGCTCCCTTAAAATGCTTCTAAAAAACCTCAGTCCTGCATAGAGTATTTGCATTTCATCTTTCATAGAATCCACAAAGCTAGAGCTGCAGCATAACAACTCCCAGAGACGACCTATCAGAGAATCATTGAAGTTGTTCAATATCCGCTCATCCATCACTGCTGTATGTAATGATGCTGAGGAGTTTGAAGCTGCAAGTACTTCCTTATAAATCTCGTAGACATGAAAATCAACCGCTCTGATGCTGAGGAGTTTGAAGCTGCAAGTACTTCTGTACTCAACATTTTTCCAAAAGGACCACATGTAAGAGAGGCGTGCTGCGGTCAAAGCCACCACTTCAAAGTGAGCCAGTAGCAAGGCAGGAATATCTGCGGTTCCTCGCATTTTGGCAAAGGGAATGAAGCTTTTCAAGAATGTCAGCTTTGCTTCAAGATCTTGGACTTGAGCACTCAAAGCAGCGAGCAAAGGATCATATCCTTTAATTCCCCAATTCATATAGTCATTTGTCAAATCTGCTAGATTTTGGAGGATGAGGTCTATGAATTCCAACAGTTCATCATTTGTCATACAAGAATTTGATTGAAATGACCTGCTGCTTGCCAAAGCAAAGTAAATTTGGATGATTTCTTGCTTGAGTACTATGATCTGTTTCCCAATTTCGCCGAACACTCCACGATCAACAATAGAATTGTGAATAACCCATTCAAATGTTTCCGTTCCTAATCTAAGGGAAAGAGAGTGAATATCCTCCTCATATTTGTGAAGGGTATCTTCGATACAAGATAAGAAAGATGGAAGACTCACCTTCTTCACAACATTGTCAGATTGCAAGTACAAATGAACAAGGCTCCACTTTCTAGCACACATAAGAAATGTTTTGAGAAATTTCATATGTTTGATTGCATCACGAACATCCAAAGGATCTGTATCATTACCATACAAAGAAAATTAATGTCTCGGCATCTGTCCAGAAGCAACTCTAGACCAAGTAAGACACGATCGACGCTGCAAGTGGAGGCCATCTCGATCTCTTTTGGAGGGATTTTCGTCTGTTTCACTCTCAAATTTAAGAGAGAAACAAATCTCACTAACTGCAGAGCTGGCAAAGTATTTCTTTCCTGAAAATTACAATTTTTTGCTGTTCTTATTTGTTTCTGGTGAGAAGGTGAAGGAGAGTATTGAGATAATCAACCATTCTTTTTTGTTTTTTTGAGATAATCAACCATTCAACTAGGTGGAATTGGCATCAAGGTGGACCCCAGACGGATCAGCCCCCTCTCTACTATACGTTTATATTGCCTCAATAAAGCAAAAAACCACTTGCAGACCTTTCACAAGTAGTGGGGCCAGTTTCATAGAATTATTGGGAATTATTATTGTATTCCATTCCCACACGGTGGGGTCTCTGTTTTTGCAATAATTCCACCTTCCATTCCCACACGCTTATTGTTTGTTTTTTTTTTTCTGCTTCAAGCATCCACAGTTTAATATGTTAAACTTTATAATTAGGAAGAACAGAAAACAAAGAGACATCAAAATATAAATGATCCAAGAGACGTCACAATATAAATGATCAAAATACAATGAACCTTCAATCTAGCTCTCTAATTTTCTTCCATTGTTTTCTTTCTTCAGCAAACCACTAAATTTGATCACTTTCTCTTCTAATTATCTCGTATTAATAATCATGACCATTGATCTTGGAGATTAATAACCATGACCAACAAAGCAAAAAGTATGAGAAAAATAATTGAGGGCTTCTTCAACCCTTGGTATTGTGGAAGCAGAGAATTTGGGATTTCTGCAATTACTAGCATCAATTATATCATAAAATATATGCATTACAATAATAAATGTAAACTCTAAGATAATAAATATAAACAGTAAAACGATAACTTGCAAAATTAATGTTACCAATATACAATGGTCAAAGAAGATGATTGGATTAAAGAAGTGAAAATTTATACTAATCAGTAGTAGTACTTCTTTTCACAGAAAAAAATGCATTCTTGAAACATTTTCTATTGGGTCATTTCGATAACCAATGTTGTATTACAAACACATTAATTTTGTACTCTGAAAAAAATTCGAAGGATCTCATCCTCAAATACTTGTCTACTCTCAAATATTAGTACAGGTAAAGGAGAAACAAATCTCACCCCAGGGCCAACAAGTCTTTCTTCCCTCAAATTTACTCTTCTTTCATTTTATTTTCTATTATTATTTTTTTGTAGGGTAGTGAAGAAAAGAAATTAGGTACTCAATTGTTTAACAAACAAACAGAGTAAGAAACAAAAGATCAGCAAGGCAAAAGAGAAAATGTTGGAATTATCATAAAGCCATCTTGTGTTTAGTAGATTAAAGAAGTTTTCATTGACAAGTTTATTATTTTTGGACTATTTCATACTCATATTGGAGTTGAGAAGAACCACTCTGGTATTTTCCATTAGCAAAGGTCCCTGCACCTATACTGAAAAAGCGTAAAAAATTAACCAATTGCTCAATTCAGACTTGTTTTACTTTAATCTTTATAAATTGAATGTTTCTTTGAAAAATTTAAGCATTGTTACTCCATTATTATACGTTTATAATAGAGAGGAATATAAAGTGGAATATAAGTTGTATTAGCAGACATATGCGAGTGGTGGGCTCAGTGCTTCTGAACCTTTGATAAGCAGTGGGCCGGTTTCATAGAATTATTGGGAATTATTGTATTACATTTCCACACAATGGGGTCCCGGCTCCACAGACAGGGGCAGGGCGTGAAGGTTTTGTGTAATGGTTTTGTGTAAAATGCACAATCGTGTAACTCTGTATGAACACGGTGTAATTTATTTTTAATAACATGTAATTATACAATAAAATTTTATAAGTCTTACATATGATGTGAAAAATAATATATAAGATACAATCCGAATCTTATATATATATTTTTATCAAATCTTTACCATGAACCTAAAATAACGGTAACCGTTCCTGCCCCTTCTCCAATTATTGTAAGCCCCTGTTTTTGCAATAATTCCACTTCTTGTCACGAGGCAATCAGTGAGTAGGAAAAAATCGACTATCCACAGTTTAATTTGTTAAACTTCGTAATTAAGAAGCCTTGTTTTGATAGCAGATGTGGAGTAAGGGTTGAGTATTTTAATTCATCCATGTTTGAAATATGAATAGAGTATTATTTGAAATATTATTTGGAATAATTATTATAATATTTTTTATGATGTTATGTATGTAAGATAAAAACGTGATTAGAAATATATAAAAATTGATTGAAAAATATATTTATGATGCAAGCGAAATATTATTTGAAAAAAGTGAGTATTTCAATTACTAAACATTACAGTTTAACATTATCTTATTTAATGTGGGAATTTGACGAAGATCAAAAAATAAAGAAACATTAAAATATAAATGATCCAAGAGACTTTTATAGAGAGTATGGATATAAGCACAAATATAGATTTATTTGGTTTTTCTTTTCATATTTTTCTTTTAGCATGAATCTTCAAGCTAGCTCTCCAATTTTCTTCAATTGTTTTCTTTCTTGAGCAAATCACTAAAAATTTGACCACTTTCTCTCCTAATTCCCTTCTATTAATAATCATGACCATTGATCTAGGAGATTAATAACCGTGACCAACAAAGTAAAGAGTTGAAGGAAAAAAATTTGAGGGCTTTAACCCTTGAAATTTTGGATGCAGAGAATTTGAGATTTCTACAATTACTAGCATCAATTGTATTATAAAATATATGTATTATCATAATTAGGCTTGTCAATCAGGCCATATGAGTCGGGTTTTCATAGGTTCAGATTCAACTCATTTAATTTGTAACACTTTCAAACTTCGGGTTAATAAATGTGATGATTATATTCAACTCATAGAATATTCCGATTTTGAGCCTTATTCAGGCTTAGTTCAAGTTCAATTATTGCTCCTCAATTTTCTTATATAATTACCAAAACTATTGAGTTGTAAAACTAATTTAATATTCACAAGACTATAACATTAAAACTAAACATGAACAAGTAACAGTTCTTAAAAAGTACATAAATCAAGAATTTGTCAACAATATTTATATCTAATTCGTTCAAAGTATATGAAAAATAGTAATAAAATATGCGGTCATAAGCCAATACATTTTCAAAAGTTGGAACTTCTTCATACCTTTGTAACTTAAATCCAAACATGCTCGATGATTAATGTTACTAGACCAAAAATAAATCAACCAAAAAATTTACTGAACCAATAAGAAAAGTTAGACTTTTAGTCACGCAATATCAATATCGGCTCTCAAGAAAGTTAGTAGAGAAGTCTTCAAATGTATTTTTGTGTTTTGTAATTTGTATATATTTAATATTTAGTAATAATATTTTTGAATATATAATTATATTATATATATAGCTAATTTAAGGGCTGGACCAATATTAGATTTGAGCCTAATGAGGTCTAAACTCGGCTCATATTTAATTCAGGTGCAATTTTTAGGGTCAAACTCAAATCGGCTCAGTGAAAGGTCGAGTTCATCGGATTTGTTTTGGGCCGAACCAGCCGAGGTCAGGTGGCCTGACCCCATTGACAGTCCTAATTATAATAAATATAAACACTAAGATAATAACTATAAAGAGTAAAATGATAACGTTCAAAATTAATGAGTGCATTAATGTTACCAATATACAATGGTCAAAGAAAATGATTGGATTAAAGAAGTAAAGAATTCTACTAATTAGCAGCAGTACTTCTTTTCAAGAGTCAGGACTTAATTGCGCGCTAATTATTTATACTAATTTATTTACTTGTATCATAAACATATTTTTTAATTATCTTTTTATCTCATATATATTATATAAAAAAACTGATACAATATTTAAAAAAAAAATCATCCGAAATAATCTCCTATCCAGACACAAGTATTTGCCCATTTCAGTGTTACTTGAGCCATTGGAAATTAATTGAAAGTCTTCTCATTACTCTTTCTTCAACATTGAGGGTGTCCATTGGAAAATGAGAGAAGGGGACTGGCTGTTCTTCGGGTCAAGCACGGCCAGAGGACCCTCCCTTTCCTTGCTTTTTAACACAGGGGTTCATGGCTAAGGCATACCCATGTTTTTAAATGTTTGATATCAATTCTTATTATTTATGTTGAAAACTTCCACGAGTTGGTTGAGATTTTGGTCCTGTTTAATAATTCAATTTAATACTTAAATTTAATAGATTCAGATTTTAACAGGTTCAAACATATTTGATAATCAAAAATTAAACATCTGAATTAATTAAATAGTACTAAATTTAATTGGCAAATATATTATAAAAAATAAGTAATAAATTATTTATTTATCACTTAATATGATATACATTCAAATGTATCAGATTTAATACTTAATAATTTAATGATTTTATATTTTATATTTCAATTTTATCAAACGCACTTAGTGTCAGAAGTCTCAAGAGTCAGAACCGAAATGCATGCTAATACAATAATATACTGTTACAGCTATTGAAAATCAATTGAACTCTTAACATTAGTCTTTCTTCCACATTCATGTGCAGAATTCGATAGATTGACGGAGACCAGATAGTGTTCTGGTCAAGAATGGCCACTGGACGGTCCCTTTTCCTGTTCCTTAATTCAAGCTTTAGCCTTTTAAGGGGCAATGTTTTAGATGGGAGAAGATTTCATCCACAATGTATAATCGATCTGTAGCCTTGTGATTCTAACCTGCTCCATTTTTAATATGCGTGAGCAACTATATTCAGATTTTCGGGGACCTGAACAATTTTGGGCTAATTGATATATGTCGCAAGAACATTTTCATATTCTCTTGTGGTTAAATTTAATAATATTATACACAGATAATGAATTAATAAGGTATTTATAATGTTGTATTTATCTCTTAGGTAAGACTGCAAATGAATCTCTCGGAAACCAGCATTTTAGCAGCGAAACTGTCTCAATATTGACTGACTGAGCTCAAGTTGTTTGATCAAAGTATCAAATCAAGTAGTTTGATTAAAAAAAAAAATACTCCTAAACCTTATGATATGTAGACATACTTTTTAACATTAACACTGATCATCTATTTTAAATTCCGTCAAGGAAAATATTATAATTAATATCTACTTACATATGAGCTCAAATTTTTAGTGTAGCATAAGGAGAAATATTAACAAATCTCGCCTAGCAAGTATTTTTCTTGTGGAATATTCAATTATTC